AACAATGTTAGTGCATGCGTCTTTCACGTGATGACACAGTAGTTAGTGCATGTGTCTTTCATGTGATGACACAGTAGTTAGTGCATGTGTTTTTCATGTAATAACACAGTTGTTAGTGCGTGTGTCTTTCACATATGTAACAGGGGTTTGATTCCTCAATGTGTGATAACTAGATATGCTAAGACCGTAAGAAATGCATTAGGATCAAAATTATAATATTTTACCCCAATTAAACTACATTGCGCCCCAACGCACCCTACTTTATGATTTTACTCTGTCTATCGCCGGACGTATTTACTTGCCAAGGGGAGATCCCCCCCATCCATTCTTGCCAACCCTACCGCTACCATTAGTGTACAACATCAGTAACATACACTACCTTGAAAGCCGTCTTCGTTTCTGACTGCGTTGGTTCCCTTTCGAAGTTCTAGCTGGACGTTTTTGAGGCTGCACTTCTTCCTCACTATCATCCTACGAAACCAAGTTCAAAGTTTTGTTATTTTATAATTCAATTACTTTCAATTCGATTAAAATAATTGAATTGTCAGCTTTTTTCAGTCGTCCACCTTGGGTGTTTAAAATATGTACTCTATGGGTGTTTTGGTACCTAGTACAGTATACTCCTACATAAAAAAAATAGTAAAATACAATACACTGGTCGCAACCGACGTGAAATCCTTAGGGGAGTGAGATCAATGAGGAAAATGTGCGAACAATGACATTTCTGAACAACAGAAACAAATGAAGGAATGTATACAATACAATATTTGCTTCAATGTAAAATACAGCGTATTACCTGGCTTGCTGTAACAGTATATCTCACTGGTTCTTTTCTGCTCCGACCAGATCTCCTGATGCCGTAGACATCCGGATCTTGCTCCCAAAACTAACGAAAAAGAAAACAGGAAATTATGATCCTTCAGTTGCTAGCGTTGTTTAACATTGTTGATCTGCATGCAAATTCATTAATTCGTCTCCTATCTCCAAGTTTGCCGAGTGCATAGGTTACTGGCTGTAACGTTTAATATTATATTATCGCTAAGGTTAAGTATTTTCCAGAAGGGTCTTTATAGCATTATGTATGTCTTACCCTGTCTTTCTTGGTGGGTGAAGAGCTTTGATATGCAGCAGCTGAGACCGGCGTCTTATTTTCCTGTAGTTGGGCGCGATCAGCTTCATCGATCTCAGACTGACTGTCAGTGCTTCCGTCAGAATCACTGTTCTCGTCCGATAGAGACACATTCCTTACAAGATAACAAAGACAATTTAGTTTGTTATTCTTTTTTGCCCTAGGAAAGGTGAACCTGGTAGAGAAAACGAGTGATGTGTTGCTTGGGATGATGGATTTTGGTGGCCTAGCAGTCAGAACAAGCGCCTTTCACGTAAGTCAAGAACGCAGCTCAACTTGATCAAGCGGAAGGCTTCCTGAAAGTGGATTTACATTCAGCGCAAAATGTTGCGCGATTGGTTTTTTTACGATCGCTTTCTTTTGAAATACAAACAGTCAAGCGGAGCAAATCTCATTAGCTGTGGTTGACTGCACACATTTCAAAAGAAAGCGAGTCGCAAAAAATCGATCATGCGACATTTTGCACTGAATGGAAATCCTCCGCCTTTATGACTCATGTCTGATCGCGGAGCACAGCTGCGGCGGAAGGATCAGTTTGGGGTTTTATCCCACCCACCCTGTCAACATTCCCTGTTCAACACTCCAACACTCAACGCCCTTGTCAACATTCCGGAAGAACACCCTGTCAACGTTCCGGAGTACCCATAGAAAACCCAAGACTTTCGGTAGAGTGTCGACTGAGTCTTTAACTCCCTAACAACTGACGATTGCAGCCAGAAATGTGGGATAAAAGATGTAATTTAAAAAAATATATTAGTTGTGTGACTTACTGTACTACATTACCACGATTCAACCAACTTGATTGATTTTGTTTTCTAAATTGTGACGTATTCAATACTTGGTAAGGTTCATCTTCGTCGCTAGTAACGTTGACGTCATCATCTTCACTGCCAGAATCTGACGAGTTTAGATCTTCTTCGATCTTAAAACAACAGCAAGCGAACTTATTTAAACTACTTTTTCTCCTAAGAGGTCCAGTAAGGGCAATCAATTGGTGTAGTGGTACTATACTGCTATACATGAGGAATTCTAAGGATAAAACTCAAACTAAAACCAACTTTATTTATACTGATTAACTGAAATTGGAAAAAAATTGGAATATTTGTCTCCCCCTCTAATACGGACATCTCTTTAATACGGACACCTGTGTGATGTGGAAAACAACAAACAAGCAGACAAAACAAACAAACAACCCCCCCCCCCCC